GTCACATCCCCAAGTCCCCCCTGTCCCCGGGGCCACCCACGGCGCTAAGCCGAGAGCCCCCCGGCCGCGCTGCTGGGGCCCCCCGCTCTGCCCCCTGCAATAAAGCCAGTGTGGGGCTGAGGGCTGCAGGGCCAGTCCCGAGCTGGGAGTGCCTGGCTGCCCCCCACCCGACGCTGGACACACGGGTCCCCCTGGGCCTGGGAAGGGATCCCTGGGCAAGCGCCCTGGGCACGTCCCAGGAGCTGCTGCTTGCACCCCAAAGGGGGCACACAGGGGTATGCCCTCACCCCAGCCCAGCCCTTGCCGCACCGTGCTCCCCCCTCCCCGTGCTTCCTCCGCCACAGCCCCCGGCTGCTCACCAGGGCCCTCCCCGGGAGGCAGCGGGCAGCTGGGGGCCCCGCAGACATGCTGTGATCATCCTGCTCGAACTAGTCTTTGACAAACTAATAAAATAAAGGGATTTGTACATTGCTCTGGCCTCTTCTCAGCCATTGCTTCCCTGGGGTCCCGCATCAGCTCCCTCACCCCTCCATTCCCCTCAGTGCTGAGACCTGAAAGCTCATCACACTACCAGAGGCTACAGGTCCCAAGTCAGGGAGAAGGGAGAGGCCACACTGAGCTCTGCTCGGTCCAGCTGCCTCCCCACAGCCCCGTGTCCACCCTGCAGGCACCCTCTATGGGGTTGGGGACACAGTAAAAGGGACGGGTGCTGGTGGGCCTGGGTCCCACAGACATGACAGGGAGGCTTCTGCCCCTTCCCCTCAACTCTGGGACTCCCCTCACAGAATGACTGGGGATTTTCCTGGGGTACAAGGGACGTTTTGGGGCGCAAGAGCAAGGCTGTGACCCACAAAAGCAGGGGCACGAGGCTATAGGCAGGGCGTGGGTAATGGGGCACATCATGTTCCGCAGCAAAGCAGGGCCCCGGGCAGTGCCCAGGCTTGGCACAGCCCTGGAGATCCTCCATCCGGAGCCAGCCTCGGCTTTGACTGATTTGCCATCATTTACCAGCAAAGAGCTCAGCTGTTACCCAGGCAGCATCAGCAGAGCAGTCACCTGGAAAAGCTTCTGTCAGAAGAAAATACTAGGGTAGGAAATGATAAAGATCTTGCAGGCAAGGTCTCCATCACAGGCAGGGTGTGCCTGCACCAATTCTGCGGTGATCCTGCGACCCAGCGTGCCGAGGCAGGGGGCGGAATGCAACCCCCATGGCTCTCCCTGCGGAGTGGGAACAGGGGACACACTACTCATCACCCCAACCCACCCAGGGCCGGTAGCGTGGGACAAGCAGCATCTTCTCCTGAGGCCACGGCCCTGCTGCACCCATGCTGGGGGGTGCTGCCAGGCGGGAGCAGGGTGATGGGAGCAGGACAGGGCCCCGCGGCTGTCCCCATCCTCTGTGTAGTGTCCCTCTTGTCCCCTGTCCCCAGCGTGGGGGCACAGCGCCGCCTGGTGGGGTGACAGCGCAGGACAGCAGGTGGGGACAAGGTAGACAGAGCCCCAGTACAGACCCCTCATGAGCCAGGACCTCGCCGTGGCCAAGGGGAAGGAGGCAGGGAAAGGTAGAGCAGCTCAGCACCCCCACAGCAGCCACAGGCACCTTCATTACAGAAGAGGATTTATCAAAATTAGAAAAAACCACACATACAAAAAAAAAAAAAAAAAAAAAACCCCAAAAAAAAAAAAAAAAAAAAGCCCCAGCTGGGGAAACATCCCCCAACTCACACCCCTCCTACCCTCCCCTCACTGCCCCAGTGTGCAGAAGGAACAGGGGATGTCTGGGAGGGGAAGGGGCAGACTGTGCTCCCAGGGCTGCCCTTCTCACCAGAGCAGAGCTCCTCTCACGGAGGCTCCTCCCCAGCAGTCACCCTCAGTGACTGACTTTCTTTGGCCACTTGCCTTTGGAACAAGCCCCCCCACACCCCAGAGAGGAGGCAGCAACCCTCAGACAGCAAGAGGGGCCCTGCTAGAATCCCTCCCATACTCCCCAGCACACAAGCTGCTTTTTTACAAATGCTCCCAAGAGCGGGACACAGAGCCAAGCCAAAGGTCGCAAGGAGGGGAGCCATCTCCTTACCCCGACCTACACTAATTAAGCACTCTCCCACCCCCAAGAGCAGGGAAGCGCTGCCTCCCCCACTGCGGTTTCATTAGGAGTCATTGGGGAGCCCAAAGAGCTTGACGGTGCCTGCCTCCCGGCTGCTGTCGTATTTGCCATCTTTGTCGTCACAGGCGAAGGCCAGCAGCGGCCTCTTCGGGTGCCAGGCCACTGTGAAGGTGGGGGACTCACACTGCACCTCCCAGAGCTTCTCTCCTGCATGGAAAAGGGGCCACGTCAGCCTGGGGAGCCTCTGGCCCTCCACTGCCTCGTAGCATACACCAGAACCAAGCACCTGCTGCTTCTCTCCCGCACAGGGCAGAGGAGGAACAAACGCTGCTTCAGCGCCTTTTAATCACCTGGTGACAAGGCGCAGACATGACACGCAAGTCTACAGCAGACTAACAAGGCAGAGGCTCCCCCTCATGGCACTCTGCTCTTCCTCAGCAGACACATATACCCAATGCCCTCCCAGCTCCACCGGCACTTCTTCATCCGATTCCCTCCTTGCTGTTCCCCAAAAGCAAAATCGTTACCTGTCTCCACCTCTGCAATGTCAATGAAGTGATCTTCTGATGCTGATGCCAGCATCTTCCCATCATGGCTAAAACTCAGAGTTCGTACAGGCCAGTCAAGCCTGCAGCAACAGAGCGAAGCGGGCAGTGAGCCATCTGCATGGTCACCAGAGAGGGAAGGCAAAGAACTTAGAGACAGCACTACCTACCTCGAGAAGCACCTCACACACACCAGTTCATCCACGTCCCAGAGGCTGACTAATGCATCAGCACTGCCCGTGGCAAAGTACTTCCCCATGGGATCAAATTTGATGCAGATGCAGTTTGAAGGATGGGCGTTGATAGACTGAATGGGTTTCAGCTCTGGGTAGCTGTGGAGAAGAAGGGAGAGGGCAGGAAACAGTGAGAGGGGCGTAGTGCTCATCTACAAGCAGAGCAGGCACAAGGCTCAGCAGGACTGCCAGCAAACCAAGCTGGTGCAGGGCCACACTCTTGGAAACCTTGAGTGCTGAGTGAATGGGGCAAAGCATCAGGGTCACTCTCAGGGAGCCCTGCCCAGAACTGGGGCAACCTCAGCTCCAGGCAAGTTTGTTCCCACCAGAGGGCTGAGAATCGCTAGAGTATGGGACTTCAGTTCCCCAAAAGCAACAAAGGGTCTTGTAGACAAGTATCTGCCACAGCCAGCCCAGCTACCCTGCCCACCCACTGCCACAGGCGCCTACCTGAGGATGTTGATGCAACCGTTTCCATTAGTGAGGAAGAACATGTTGTTATCGTTGTTCCAGGAGATCTCGTTCACCTCAAACTTGAACTGTTCCTCAGCTTTGGAGCGATGCGTCTTGGCATCAATAAAAGTGACCACGTCATCCTTGTTCCCCACTGCAATGGTCTGTCCGTCAGGGCTCCAACAGATGTTGATGTTCTCCCCTGGAGGGACAGAAAGGCAGCAGGTCCCTCTTCCACCCACCAATCCAGAGCAGCCATGAGTTAAGCAGACAGGCAGCTTTCATTCCTGATTCAAGGCCACAACATGCTCTACTAACTCCAAACCATTTCTAAATGGGAAAGACTGCCCAGTCTGCAGTCTAACACACAAACCCTATATAGTAGCTCTCCATCAAACACAGTTATTGAAAATCAAACTTAACAGAACTGCAGCTTTAAGCCAACGTGACGTATCACAGCCCTTCCCATTTCAGCCAAGAGGGGACCACAGCAACCACCAAACAAGGTCAACTCAAAGATCCTCTGAATCCAGTAATCTTTGAGATCCCAAAAAAGCAGAAGCCAAAAATAAATACCTATGAATGAGGGTAAGAACAAGGCAGGCTGCAGCAATGCCATCTTACAATACCATTTCTAGCCTGGACAACTCAAAACTGGAGATGTACAAGGGCAGAGATGGCATCTGCGTTAACCAGCATATGAATTCAAACAACTGTTGTCTGAATCCACACAAACTTCTACTTCCACCATGGCTCTCTCCAACCATGTCTTTCCCCAGTCTCCAACCTTCCAGCCCACAGACTCCAGAGACAAGTACAGAGGACATTTTAACAGTCAGCATCATGTATCAGTAGTTTCTCCAGTCCTGGCACCAAGTAAATCAGCCCTCGCATTCACTGCCGCTCCTTACAGATGGGTGCAACACAAAGGTAAAAGGAATCGGGAAAGCCACTCCGATTGCCAAGACCCACAGGAAGGGTCCAAAGCACTGCACCACTGCAGATGGGTCCCCAGCAGCTGAGGACCCCACAGCCCTCCCAGGAAGGCAAGGACTCACCTTTGGTATTGACAGTGGCGATGCACTTGGTGGTGCGGACATCCCAGATGCGGATGGTTTTGTCCCCAGACGCCGTGACGAAGAGGTCAGGGTTGCTGGGGTGCCAGCAGAGCTGATCCACACTGTCCCCGTGGCCCCGGTAGTTGTTCTCCTTCACCTGGAGGGAGAGGACAGCCGTGCATGGGAGGGATGAGCCCATCTGCACCCATCTCCTGCCCCCAAGACCAGTATGCTTCATCCCGTTCCGCTGCCGGTTACCGGATGGGGCTGGGGCCCAGCCCAGAGCCCCACCGCCACTTCAGTCACGCTCCCCACCCTTGGCCAGCCGGGATGGAGGAGCCCTCCCCACCTCCCCAGCCAGCCACCAGCTCCCGGCACCGGCCTGCGGGGTCCTTGGCGACGCTTCTCTCCCGGGACAGACCCGAGTACCCGCTTCTAGCCCTGGTACCGACCACCGGGGCCCACTCCCGGTTCGATCCACCTGTCCGAGCACCCAGGCCGGGGGGGAGTCCCTGGTACCGGCCCGAATCACCAGACCCAGCCCAAGTGCTCCTGGGGTGCCCCGGTAACCGGTCCAAGCGGCCGCTCCAGGCGTCCCCCAGTGCCCGGTAAGGAACCGC